TTTTTTTTTTGGACCGACCCAAATCAATTTTCCTTCGGGAGCCGGGGATCCCCTTTTCATTTTTACTTCTGAACTCTACACTTTGAATATTTAATGGTATAAAAATCAAATTCATCTAATATATATAGGATATCTTAGTAAGTCTGATAGGATTCTTTTCAGAACTTGGATTTTTCTTTGTTTCAACCTAAAAAAAGTGTTTTTTGAGAGCCGGGTAACCATTTATAATTTTTTAGTTGAATTTTATCCATTAAATGTTTAATGGAAAAAAAAGAATTAACGATGTTTATTGATTTGTAAAACTATAAGTTTTTAAATTAAAATATAAAATGAGAAGTTAAAAAACCAAGTATCACTTTATATTCATTTTTTGGTGTTGAAGGAATATTTACCGTCTAATATTCTGTTACATTTATTTTATTGGTTAAACTTAAAATATTAAGAACTGGACAAGTGGAAACTAAAATGAACAATTATTTTCAACAAAAGAGCTAATGGAATTAATTTATTACCGTTAAATTGTACATCACAACTAAAATAGTAAAGTATAGCTGTGTCATAGCTTATTTATGGCTTTTATTTATTTGGGGACTTTGTTTAAATTTTATGCTACAAATAGTTAAAATTAAATAAAATAAATTGGAATCTCTATTAAAAATGGTAAAATGCTCACCTAAATTTATCTTTTATTTTAGTTGGGAGCGTTAGATTAGTTCCAGAAAAGTTCATAAAAGGGAGAGTATCTCAATTTTCTTCATGGCACATCTCATACAAAATTTCTGCACGGGCCTAAATATTCTATAACCAATGACAGAATCAAAATTTATTATCAGGTTTTTTGAAATTGCTTTTCAGCCATTCTTTAAGAAGAGTACTTTATTATCCATTAAATATTTAAAATTAAATGCACATCTTGGTAATAAACAACAAAGATATAAGGTTTTAATCAAAATTAACAATAATGTATTAGTAGCTATGTAAGTTGGTACATAGTAACAATTTTTTTTTTAAATTAAAATCTTTAAAATATCAAAATTATAACTGAAGGCTTTTAAAAAATAGTTACAATTTGAATATTGATCAAAGAAGAAATTTCTATACATCAATATTTTAATTATTTCTTAAAGAATGTAAATAAAAAATATTTTGCGTTAATCAAATGCAGTTACACACTTTTAAATATACACAGTATAATTACATATTGGTAGCAATAAACAACAAAATGAAACATAAAATGACATGAAATAAAGTAATTACAATTTAATATACATAGTTAAAAAATTAAATTAGTTAGAAAAATTTAACAAATCTCATCTCTCATCAATACAAATATAATATATAAACTTAAAATATTTAACAAATGTTAATCATCTAATATTTCAATCACATCAATAGGCTCAGATTTTATTTCAGACAGATTCAATAATGTAGTAGATAATTTATTTTGTCGTAAATTTTTGACTTTTTTCTTTAATGCTATACCACCTGTAATAATATGAGAAAAAATAAAAAAAATACATTAATGTATTTTCATAAAGTTATACATGTTAGCATTAAATATGTGTTTTAAATAAATTATAAAAAAACAAAATTACATTTAGTTGTTTGGTATAATAGTGATAAGTTTTCTAATGATTTTTTTTTAGTCTGATTTGCTTTAGCTATAAGTCTAAAAAAGCAAGAACAATACAAAAATGATTTAGACAATTACATAGTTTTAGTTCAAAAATATTTCTGTTTATTCTTACGAGTTTTTAGGTGATTCAAATAGCCTAAATATGCCATTTCCACTAGTTGCTGAGATATTTAAAGGCTGTAAAATTATAAACAAGTACATTTAATTAAAATAAAAATAGATATATGTAAGAAAACTTACACTATCTTTTAATTCAATTAAATAGAATACAAGAAGACTGAATAACATTATTACTAATGGTAATTGATTATCATTATTCATTGTTAATACATCTACAGACGATAGCATAATAAATGGCACCAAAAACAAGTAAACAGATATCCTGTTGAGAAGAAAAATAAATTGTAACAAGATTACAAAAATTTAAATTGGTAGTCTTAAATAAATAACTTACCAAACAACACAATGTACAATAAATTGTATAAAGCATAATATTTTTATCACTTTGCTATTTGTTCTGTTGTGACAAACTTTTAAGAGTCTTGCAGCTTCCAATGTGCCAAGAGATAAATTAGACAGCCCAAGGAATACAAAACCGGCTTCTGTGCAGCTACATAATAACTAGTATTTTAGGTCTTAAAAGATTAAGTCACTTCAAATAACGGCTTAAAAATCCATAACAAAGTTCCTTAAAGTATAATAATATTACTAATTTAAAATTAAATAAATACCCAAAACAATATGTAGAAGCGAAAAAAACTAATATAACTCCTTTCTTAATTGCACTCATTATTGGACGCTCGTCTAATTGGTTTACAAAGGCTGTGTACACACTATGCAATAAACATGAGTACAAAATGATAAATTTAAAATTTCTTGATGGATCAATAGTTTCTATTGTAGCGCAACGTTCCATCATTTGACGAAACGAATCTAGTAACCAAAACATTAATGATGGATCAGTTAAAGAAGGTTTGAACGTGGAAAAACATATTGGGACACTGATAAAGCAGAAAAGTCCACTTGTCAATGAATTCAAAAGTATGTTTATTTCTGGTATTCTGAATTTGTGTGATGAATATGTGGTAATACATTTCTATAACAATAAAATGTAATTATTGCATTCGAATAGGTACATTCATGATTTAATTACATACCTTAAAAAAATTAGTAATTCTTTTTAAAAAAATCGACCACAAGATACAAACTATTGGCAATCCGATTATAAAACAATATTCATTTAAAGACAGTGTTAACATTATTTAAATGTATTTAAAATTGTATAATAATTTTAACGCGTTAAATCTATAATATCAAGTTTTGATGTAAACTTATTCAGTCCGTGGTAATTGGCGTTAAATTTTACAGCAGTTTTCAGTTCAACACGAATTTTAAACTTTATAAGGTCATGGGAAAGTAACGTTATTAATTCTGTGATAACGTTCACTAACAATTATTTGTAGGCCTTGTATACCTATATATATAGTACAGACCACAATCCAGAATTCTACAACCACCATAACCAAGTTAGAGTTGCTCTGATAAGTGTAGTTACAGATAATGCTCAACAATTATTGATAAGCCATGGAAGAATTAGAAATGATAAATTAGGATAATCCTATGAAAATCCATGTCAATTCTATACTTCAAGTTAATTGAAGAAGTGATTTACTTGTACGATTCATTCGAATATAAATTAAAATAGCTTTAAAATTTTATATACCATTGTATACGAACTTTCTAGTATTTACCAGCCATAGATATTTATCAAAGTGATATCATGGAATGATGTATACATTGTTTAAAGGTTATACATAAGTGTTCTTCAGTTTTTGCATTATCACTGGGAAATGGGAATCAAACAAATACTTCCAGAACCCAGTTCCTTTATGATTACTCGTTTCATGGTGGTGTATTGTTAATTCCTCATTTTGTTTTAATAAGAAGCTCTTCTTTTTCCAATGTAAGTATATAAATACAACGTTTTATGTTCTGTTTATATTAAAACATTAGTTATCTGTATAAATTGGATGCTTCATTATAGCATAAATATATATATATATATATATATTTATATATTTAATAATTAATTATATTATACAGTTATATATACAATTCGTTTTATTTTATCTGAAAATAAGACGGTTAAATCCTTATGTACAAAATATGTTTTTTACGTGTTTGGGAATTCATATAATTTTAAATAAATTTAATGGATAAGTTCTTAAAATTTTTGATTGATACTTTTAATTTTGTGTCAGCAATAAATTATTATACCTTTTACTAGGATAACAAGTATAACTGATGATCTGATGATATCTTTTGATGATTGATGAAAAGTAATATTTATTTTATATTTTACGTACAATTGATATATTGTGGAAAGTTTCCAGTTAAAAGAAAAATTAACTATAATTTACTTGAATTATTATTTATATTATTTTTAGTTCATAAAATTTTAAAAAGTATTTATATTTCAATTATTTAAATAACATATGAAGTTCTGAATACCTATTAATAATAAATTGTAAAATATTTTGAATATTATTTTTCCTACATACTTGTAGAAACAAAATATTGAAATGTATTAAGGATATTGTGTATTTTAATTATTCTTCCAAATTTGGTTATACCCAAATGTGTCATATATTTGTTAATTTATGAATTTATGTAAGTTTTGGATGAAATAATATTTTTTAAATGATAATTAATGCCAAATCTATTTAATAATGTTTTGTTGAAGTCAATTATTCTTGATATAAATTTTCTTAAATATTTAACTAATATAATATTTATTTTGAATATACCCTAAAATACTACTTAGAAAATACCTTTAAAATAATTAAATCAATTGTATTTTTAGAAAATAATATGGAAGTTGATGAGGAAGATGTTGAAGCGCCATCATCAAGTACTAGTAGTCGTGGCGAAAAGAAAAGATTTGAAGTTAAGAAATGGAATGCTGTGGCATTATGGGCTTGGGATATAGTTGTGGACAATTGTGCTATTTGTCGTAACCATATCATGGACTTGTGTATCGAATGTCAAGCTAATCAAGCATCGGCCACTAGCGAAGAATGTACAGTTGCATGGGGTGTGTGTAATCATGCATTTCATTTTCACTGCATATCACGTTGGTTAAAAACTCGACAAGTATGCCCACTTGATAATAGGGAATGGGAATTCCAGAAGTATGGGCATTAATGAAAATACATTTTTTCCTTAATTTTTTTGTATAATTTGTAAGCATACTTAAAATATTAAAACAAATGATAAAATATTTTATTCTAATTTAAATGTCTGTAATCAACATTAAAAGAATAAAATGCAAAATTTACTAATTATTTTATTACCTACTTGTTTTGATTCTATCACACAATAACATGAAATATGTCCTATAATATATATACTACAGTATATTATAAATTGTGAAAATATTTACTAATTGGATTGTTTAGTTTTTAAACACAACAATTTAAGCAAAATGATACATGAGGTTAAGTAACTACAGTATTTTATAATTAATATTATGTATATCAATTTATATTGAAAAATTAAATAATATTTTATACCCAAATCATTATTTCTACTTTTCGCTTGTATCATAGGTATATTTTACCAGAGCTTGATTAAGAGAATAAAATGTATTAGTTTTCTATAATAATATGTTATGTAAAATGCTGAATCAAATGCATACATTGAGAACTAATAAATGTTCTAGATAGTGGCAGGTTTTACTGATATGTTTAATTATGTTAAGGAAGTATATTTATGGGTCATTTTTTAGTTTAAAATGTTATTAATTTTCTTAGTACAATTATGTTCTTATGTAAAAAAAATATTTATGTGTAATCTAACATTATAACTATTGGTATTTTATATTTTTAAACGTCATATTGTGGGAAATGTTATTAATTTCAGAGTAGTTTCCTTTTTTGCTCTAGTGTTTATATGGAAATAAAATTACATACAAAGATTAACATTTTGATAAAAATTGGAAAACTGAAAAAATTCAAAACTAAATAAAATTTTGATCAAATATGAAATACACATTTTTCATGTTAAGACAAATGCCAATGTATTATGTATTAGGTTTATAATTAATTTTAATTATTATTACAAATTTATTTCTAACCAAATGATCCCTATATCTTAAAATGTATATATAATTTTTTATGGAGTATTGTTGTGTAAACATTGATTAGAGTAAAATTTATTTTGATTGGTGTTATATCAATGATTAGCAGTATTTAAAAATAAGTAAATTTTTTAGATTAATAATTATGAAAATGACTGTCAGAATCTTAACCATTATTTTAATTATAATTTATTTTTTATATTTTACGTCAGTATTTATGGAAATAATTATAAGTTATTTATATAATATGACCAATTTCTTGTATGTGAAGAGTGGATACATGTTTCCGGACATCAGTATGGGATTTTTGGACTTAAGATGAGTTTATGGGCGTAAAAGGTAGTCTTTTTTAGGTTGACCTATAATAATTGAATTACCATACATTTGAAATATCAACATCAATATTTGGGCTCTAGTTGCGCCTATGGATGATCAGAATTCTTGTACAGCAAAGTACGAATTGATTATCTATTTTAATTTTTGATTAAAATATATTTTAATGGTGACAACACAAGTCACACCAAGGTTTGTTTGGCGATTTAGGATTTTTGGTTGATAGCCGATCTAGAAATTGATATCTATGTTTTGGTTGTGTTTAAAAATACATACATATATGTCAGCCATATGATACAGGTGTAGTCATATTTCCAGTGGCGTATCCAGGATTTATTTAACGGGGGTGTTTTAAAATTTATTAGGCTTATGGTAAGTAGAGCCTCTGCCTCTTCCACCGTATTAAATAAATAAATTCCATGTATTTATATAAAAGAAAATTATTACATTAAGACAGCAGGTACACAACCTATAAGTTGTGTACAACGTTCATTCAATAATCAAAGTAAGTTTACAATTTGGTGAAATACCATAAAATAATGTCGATGGGGGGGGGGTGTTTTAATACCCATATAACGCCCCTGAATACTCCCCCCTCTTTAACCATGTTATACTGAAGTTTTATAAAAGTAAAAATTCATCATAAACCGTGATGAAAATATATTCATCATAACGAAATATAAACATAACAATAATGTGAATAATCTGACTTTACATTAGGTACACAATTTTGTCTAATAAACTAAAGCCGTGGTTTTGTATCGTATCGTGTGCAATTTAAAATAGATACATATGACAAAAATGTACATTTGAAATTTTAATAAAATATTTAAATACTTTCTCATACAATAGTACATTACACATGAATAGATATTGATGTGTAATGTATTAATGTGTTTGATTGTTTGTACAATAAAGTATACGTTAAGTAATAATTTTGTTATGTATAATTTTAAATAACATCCCCCTTTTGAAATACCTAGCTACGTGCCTGATATATGTATATCCAGTGCTTGATTTGGCATAATTAAAGAAGGGGGATTCTATTTGCTTAAAAAAAATTGCGTCCCCAAAACTTGTTAAGCGTTATAATTATAATATATTAATAGTAGGGGGATGCTAAAATTTCTAAAAATTAGAAAGGGTACTCCGTCCACCTGCGTCCCCCCTCAAGTCGAGCACTGTGTATATCTTTAATCATGGTTTTGGCCTTATATTATATAATAGTATATATGTAGTATATGATCTAAGGCAGTGCTTCTCAACGGGGGCGATATCGCCCCCCGGTGGGTGGTGAAGGAGTACCGAGAGGCGGTGAGTTCGTTTAGGGTAATTGGGGGGCGGTGAGCTCGTTTTGGGCGATTAAGGGGCGGTGAACTTTTTTTCCGTTCAAAGTAACGTACCAAGATTTATCTGTAATTGTTTTCTGTTTATTGATTTCTAAAATAAATTTGTGATTATGAAATATTAACTACATATATCAGAGGCAGTACGTTATTATCTAATAACGAAAAATAGAAATCGACTAGATATCGTCAAAAGAGGAGACTTACGGCTTCATCTCACAAATTTTGAACAAAACGTAAAAAAATTGGCTTTGAATCACCAAGAATTTCACTGATCAATACATTTTAACTATCTTTACATTTATATTAATGAAGTGAAGGGGGGGCGTTGAAAAAAATTTTGTTTCTTAGGGGGGCGGCAGTTTGAAAAAGGTTGAGAAACACTGATCTAAGGTTTTGGCGGTCTCAATTTTCGAGAATTCTGTACTATCACCCGTTTATATCACGGACGAAGATATTAAATATAGTTAATTGTTATCAATAAACATCCGTACAATAACAGATTACACGGTCTGCTGCCGCCGACTACAACTGCGTTCGATTAGTGATAGCGGAACCGTAGTAGTGTTGTCGCGGTTGTCTGCTCTACACTATAGCTCGTCGGTTATTAATCGCATAACTAATTGGTGTCCGAGTAACCTATGCGCGCATACTACACGTATTCACACAATCGCGTATTTCATTTATAGTAGCGACAGCAGAGTGACATTGTCTTGATTAAATTGAAGGAAAAAAAATATCGAATTCCAGCACGATGGGTCTGTTAACCCTAGGGGAACCGCTCTCTTGGGAAGAGACGAAAAAGTTGGCTGACCATGTGAGACAGCATGGCATCGATCAGTTTCTAAACCTGTATCACCAGTTGTTGGATCGCAAAGGAGATGTCTTGAAATGGGGTGATGAGGTAAATACCGTGAAATATTTCGTTTTACAAAGTAGTTCACTTGGTGTATTTTCTAGGTCGAGTACATAATCGTGAAATTCGACCACGAGAATAAGACCGCCAAAGTCAGATTGTGTGCTGAAGAAGTTTTAGATGAACTCAATAAGAAAGAAGTAAACGATCCTGAGTGAGTACTATTATTATGATGAAATATAGATTTATTTTAAGTTATTTGAATAAAGTAACACCACAGAATAAATAAAATCAATAGAGTTATAAATTTAATTTATTCTGTGGTATCATCATTGATTCTTTGATGATATCTCATTGATATAATGAAATGTGGTGATGGTTTTTAGAATTTTTTCTGAATGATTTTTTTGATATTATCTTATAATATTAATATATTGAGACACAAAAATATTTCACCAACTAATGATTTATTACTTAAAATTATATTTTTATATTCACTAAAAAACATAACATTGCATTTTTAACCTAAACGTCCTGAGTTGAATTATGTATCAAAGCCAAAACTTGAGTCTAGGGAGATCCAGACTCCTTATACTTTCCCTCTGTAAAACTGCTACTAATGAAATGCCTTTATTCATATTTTATTATTATTAATTGCTTAAATTAATTAAATATTAGATATAAATAGTCTTAATTATGTTGCTTGAAAAAACTTTGGAAAAAATTTGCATATTAATGTTAAAATATTAATTAATGTCTAAAATGAACTTCTGAAAAAGAATAAATTAGCATTATAGTTTATCATTGTCATTGTATTTTATCATTGTATTTTGGTATTTATGAATCAATTTCTTCTATTATCGAAAAGCTTAATTTTTATAAACATTCAATAATACTTTATAAAAGTTTGGTTAATATTAATATAGAGTAGAAACTATATTATTTGTTCTGATAATTTATTGTTGAACAATAAAGTTTTTTTAAACAAATTCAATATTTTTGATATTTTAATTCTATAATTACATTTTATTAGATCTTTTGTTTAAGATTATATTTTCTAGTAAATATTTTGGTTTATACTTTTACTTAGCTTTTATGTCATGTCTGCAGATGAATAAAGTTTTTATAAAAGTACTTATATTAATCTAGAAATTATATGTATATATATTTGTTCTTTACATAATCAAAATTTCTTTTGATATTTTATAACTATAACTGTTATCATTATTACTGTTTTAATTCGTGACATTGCAGAAAAGTTGCCAGTTTATTGACATTATATAAACCTGACAATGAAATTTTAATTAGAAACCGGTATTACTTTACAAATATAGGTTAGGTAAGGTTAGTTACTGTTGAGAATTTAAAAAAATACATTCATTTTTGATAAAATGATTAATACTAATTATGCTACAATATAATATAATATTATTAATATAATATAATATAATACAATATAATATTATACTACAATTATGCTTTGGAAATATTGAAAATTATTAAATAAAAAAAGAAAAAAACACATACTTTGAAGGAACTTGAACCTTCTGGAGAGGAATTTAAAAATGTCTGGGGGGTTGAAGTCCCATAAGTCCCCAACTGTCCGCCTATGATTGTCATTATTCATCAAAATTAATAATTTAAAATAAATATAACTTTAAATTTTAGTTAATCTTAAATTCATTAGTTAAAATAGAATAATTATAATTGACATTTAAAAGTAATTGGTTTTATTAGACTTTAAAATTAAATTTTTAAATATTGAATTAAATTTAGGTATTTTATACAATTTTTATTATTATTATAAGCTTAACTTTAAGGTAAATTGTTGGATAAAGAGGAAAAAATTGTAAAAATATAAGAAAATTATAATATAATTATCTTCTCTTTCATATTATGTAAAAATCACAAATATAATAATTGTTTTATATGTCTATTATTATAAAAGTAGTTTTATAGTTTTATTTAATTTTCCATACTATAATTTTAATTTAATTTTGTTAATGATGATTCAAGAAAATTATTTTTGTAGTATTTCAATAAAATGCCATTGAAATTAGTTTAAAGTAGCCAGCAGGTAAAATAATATAAAAAAAAGCTGTCTAAAACTTCAAATAGATTTAGGTAATATTTTTGAAGTAGTAGGATCAAAATTTTAGTGTTTCTAGCCGTAAAAAAGTTAATTCTGTCTCTATATTTAACTTATAATTTTTTTGATAAGATGTTATGTTGCTAAAGATAAAGACCCGATTTTAAGAGGTATGTATTCTATGTATTGCTCAGTATTTCAAATTAAATAAAAGTTTTAAAATTAGATAATGTAAGGTAAAAAATATTTTAATAACCATTCTATTAGTCATCAGTTATTATTCCTTACAACCAATCAAATATAAAAACATTTTTATTACCTATTGGTTCAGCCTCTTAATGAATAAACTTGATACCATATAAATACATTTAAAAACTAATATTATTAAATTATCTTTTAATTATTTGAATTTTTGAATTTAATTTAAAAATAACATTATGAACATTTAAATTGTAAGTTTATATACAAGATAATAAAAAATGATTGGCGTATTTAAATTTGAACGAGTACATTTTAGTTTAATGTAATAATGTTAATTGAAACAATCATAACTAAAAAAATAAATATTTAAATTTGCAGAAAAATTAGAGCATTATATTATTTTTTTATTGGTCAATTAGTTGGGCCAATAAAATCACTTATAAATTATTCGTGTATTGAAATAACATTTTTTAGTTTATACATAATATATATAATTATCTAATCTATTCTGCATCTATTATTTTAATCATTATTAAATTCAAATTTTTCCAGTTCAATAATTTTTTCATTATTATTGAATAGGAATAAATTATGTGATTTTTATTACATGAGTAGGCTAGAATCAAAAGTCACATGTTCCAGAAATCACTTTTTTCAGAATACGACAAGGAGAAGATGAGGAAAAGTACTGTAACATTAAATAAAACTAAAATACATCATTATTGTATAGTTTATGTTGAGAAACACAACTTTTTCAAGTTCTGAAAAAATGATTTCTGGAACATGTGATAATTGTGCCTACTCACATGATATTTTATGGATGTTATACTCGGATAAATCATTATTTTGTTTTATATATCTTCTGTTAATCTGTCCATTCAATATGAATAATTTATTTTTATTGAAGGGTAAATTCATTAATATCTGAGATTAGCTTGGTACGACATTTAAGCAATTCTTGTACTATATACATTGGATGTAAAGGCTTTGGAGGTTTCTTCTTTTTCGGCAATCATATGGAGTCCGTCACCTTATCGTACTTGGCTATGGTACCCTTCTAGTATTATTTATTGTGCCAGGGTATGGTTTGTGTGTTATTTATAGTAATTATGTAGAATATATATCATAATATATACTTTATAGTATATACATTTTAAAGATAAGTGTTTTCTATAAGTAAACACTTAAATATGTTATCAAATACTAGAATTTGTGTCGATTGTTAGTATATAGCTTTACTTTGCTAAAAATAGAATAAATAATTCATACCTTACAAGTAAATATTTGTTATTCTTTTAATTTCTGTATAGTTTTGGAGTTGACTTAAAAAAACAGTTTTATTTAATTCAATGCTTTATGTGTTCTTTAATACAAAATATTCTTTATATTTGAAAATGTTATAAATTATTTTTAATAGGAAGATATAGCATTAAAAATATATTTTTCGACTATCTCCCAATATGCGGTCTACCACAAAAATATGCGGTCTACCAAAATGAACGTGATCTACCGTAATAATATTAAAAGTATAAATAAAAAAAAAATTTATTTATTAAGGATACACAAAGCATAATTTTACATCTCTAAGGAAAGCATCAAAAATATTATCAGTTTTATTTAATCCTCACCACCAATACTCGGCTAAGTACCTCTCTAAGAGGTCTTCATTAGTACCTCACATTTTTTTAATGATTTTAAGTAAATAATTGTTAATAATAGCAATAGTTAATAGTAAAAGTAAATAATAATGACTGGAGATTCCCAGCTATAGGTAGAACACATAACATTGGTGGACCGCATACTCATATTTATAGTTACCTAGTACACAAAACGGAGGTAGACCGCATATTGGGAGATAGCCTATTTTTCTAATGATTATTCGATTTAATGTTTAAAATTTAAACTAATAGAGTGACATCATTAGTCAGTTAACTATGTATTTTTATTTGGATATATTTTATTTTATTCACACAATCGAAAACTGTTTCTACATTGAAAAAAGATACAAAACATTATATAATTAAAAGATTTTATTCTGTAGATAATATTAGTTGATTTAATTTTAAATATTTAGAATGTATTAATATTTTAGATTGTAATCAGGGTCAACTAGATGTTTCTGAGGACATGTAGCATTGAAAAAGAGTTCTTCCCTTAAGTCATAGATATTGAAAAAATATTTTACAATAATATATAATTTTATTTATGTATTTTAATATTTTTACTGAATTAAACCATTAACAAATTTGAACACTAATAAAATGAGAAATTATTTTACCTTTTATTGTGGCCTTTGACCTATTATTACTATTAGTAGTACCATTGATTATAGAATAATAAACAGTAGTATAGAGAGTTCTATAATTCTATAATTTATATATTTATATATATTTAATTGCGTTGCCCTCTCTAAATTTTCTTAACAATCCTATTGTTGTTTGCTTTTAAGTTTGCTATCATTTTGCACTTATATTTAATACAATATCATAAACTACTCATTATTTTTTTAAGACTTATAATTAATTTTTTTTATGAATAACCTGTTTTGAACCAATTTAATTAAACGATAATCTTAAGTATTGCTATAAGGCAACTTCAGCATTTTTAAGATATTAATCTTTCGCTGTGTGTTAGTTTGATAGTGTTGCAACTATTTTAAATTGTCTATATTTCATTGAGTATTATAAATAGAACTGGTACAAAATATTTAGTATATTATCTTTATATTTATAAAAATTTGAACCTCTTTTAAAGTTATTAATTGATCACTATTTTGGTTCATCTAGGCCTATCAATTATAATGCAATAAATATTAGTTCAATGTTTATCGGAAAGTATTTGGCAGTTGCATGTACATAAATTTTAATATTTTTATGCTGTTAAATTTTATCTAATTTTATTTAATTAAATTAATCAAAATCACTGACACAATTAACTTTATATATCTGTTACATTATTTATTTATATTAAATATTACTGATTACAGATTTATTTGTCTTATCTTGCATGTACTCGTATTGTAAAGCACTTGAATAATCCTTGGGATAATTAATTTCTGTTTTGTTATTTATATATATATATATATATATATATATATATATATATATTTGTTGTACTATAATATATTAGTATATGACTATTGGTTTTATTAAACATACTTAAAACGTATCCCAGGTAAAGTAATTTAACCAAAATCAAAGTATCTATTATTAATTGTAAATTACTATGAGTTTTTGTATTACAATGGTATTTTAATTTTAATTTTCTATTTTAAACTGTACCAACAAAGTCAATCATTTTCCAGAATAATTTACATAACTTGGGTCAAATAAGGTTATCTCATTTTTATAACTTGAGAACTACTTAAGGTTAAATATGTTTTTAAAATTATAAATACTTACCATATCAATTACATTTTTGAAAATATCAAAATAATAGATCAAATTGGTTCTTTTTACCTAAACCATAGACATATTAAAATTTTTTTTTCAAAAATTATTTGCAGTATTTAATGTTGTGAATAATCACTTACATTTTTTCCTACTGATTATTATTGTTATTTCTTATAAATGTGTAGGTTAATTCACACATCACAAATCTCAAAAAAAAGTATGTAAAAACTACAAAGTTACATATTTTTCTATCTTGTGCATCAAACAAGGTATAACTGAAAGGTCGGACAAATATTATAAGAAATGTAGTATATATGTGTCTAAACTTTCAGTTTAATTTACTTGTTATGAATAATTTATTACAATATTAACTATTTTATCAGAGTATTTAAATTTATGTAGTTTTTATATTAGTTTTATCAAAATGCTACATTTGCTTTTAATTATTTTTATATAATAAAACTTAAATATAAATATAAAATAATTAATTTTGTAATATTTATTATTACATTCTAAATTCTTAATTTATAAATTATGTATAGTAAAAACTAAATAGTACTAATACTATCTTTGTGAAGATTATTTAGTGACGAAGTATTAAATGGTAAAGATTAGATAATATATGTTAACGTGCAAACTCATATTTATTAGTACAAAGAAAATACATTTAATATTATGGTATACATTTTTTTTTTACGTTTCATTGTATTTTATGGTCAACATTGTAGCAATTATGTGCCAACAAATGTTTCAAATTTTAAAAAAAATTAATAGGTATTGTTTAATATTTAAATTCAGTATATTTTTGTGTAAAAAGGTTCTGGTGTTAGATACAACATTATGACATTAATACTTTTCAACTTTTTTCTTCAAATTTTTATAATTAAATAATCATGTAATTTGTGCTTACTAATTAATGGTTTTATTTTTCATTTAATTTAATATTTTAAATTAAACAACTGTATAAAATAGTTAGAATATAAAATTATATAAATAAAATCTAAGTATAATATATTCTATTGAAATATGAGTATTGTTAGAACTTTATATTATTTACGTATATATTATACGAATATACGTATTATGTACGTGTGCGTATAAATAATTTCTGAGGTAGGTTTAAATCGATATATTTGGCCGTCTATTGTTTCTATGCTATTAGTACAACAAGTTATAATTTACAAGGACATCTAGTTAGCGTTAGTCAACACATTGTAAATACTATAATATTTCATTATTTTAATATTGAGTCATCAGAATCTTATATTTATCTCATTGTTATGTAATAATGGAATATTTCAAATTAAAAAAATAATTTAAAAGAATATAAAAATGTATTTTATATTCTAGTGAAATTGTTTATCATTCATTATTTAAACATCTACATTTTTGTATTATTAAACAAAAATAAACCTACTTAACAGTTGATAAATGAATGCTCAAAAATAATGAATATTTCTATTTTAGTAATGTTAAGTCTCTGTGGAGGCCCGAGTATGGTTCCTACATGATTGAGGGTACGCCTGGAAAACCGTACGGCGGTCTTTTGGCTCACTTCAATATAGTTGAAGCCAATATGCGATATCGCAGAGAAGAAGCACAACAATTGCTTGATACAGACGAAGTGCTGATGACCATCACCAATTTTCCCAGGTATATAAAACAAGAATAACTATTACTTTTTCCCCATTTATACAATCAAAATACAAGTAGTCGGGGTTTTGAAAGTCGAGATGTTTGTAAAAAAATCATACTTCTAAACGGATACAAGCACACTTATTGATAATTGATGTATTACATTCAACTTTAAACAGTATTAGAATATTTCTAAGTAATCTAATATTTCTATAGTTCTTGATAGTTTTTAACGACGTTTGAGAAAATATTTATCAACTACGTGTACAAACAATAAAGTACTTTATGTACGTACATGTCTATAATAATTTCGATGATTCTATTTTTACGCATTGTAAAATAATTAGTGATATGTTTGTCGGTGGGCTTGGCCGGGAAAGGTTGAGTAAAACAGAGGACGAGGAATACATTGAACGTTAGAAAGGCTATGCACTGGATTCGGTGTTTGGGCTTGTAATTTCAGATGGCCCAGACAGATATAACAAAATATGCACGCATGGGACGCATTTGTGTTCAGGCTTGGATGTCCAGAGTTCACGTGGCCTGTTGATCATCCAACTCCCAAAAGTGGTCCTTCGCGTTCATTGTTTATTCCGGATTCAGCAATCTATAAAGGACATCCGAGATTCTCTACTCTTACCAGAAATATTCGACAGAGGAGAGGGGAACGTGTAGCCATAAACATTCCGAGTAAATATTTTAAATTTTAGTTTAAGTAGAAAAACGTAAGTATTTAAGTATAAGGCGACAGTTAGTGATTTTAAAATTGAAATAAATTATCATTAGTTATACGATCTCAATACGAATCTATATTTTGTTCGTCTTACCACTGTTTAATAGTTACTACTATAAACATTTTAATTTTTAATTTCATAATTTAAATTTTAAACAATTTTATAAAGAACTTTAAACTGTCAGAAAACGGGCACCGATTAGATAAACATAAGTTAAGTGTAAATTTGTTTGATGATTGAGTCTATTTAATATAAGCCTAAAGAAGTTGCAATATGATAAAATTGAGATATCACGTATGTTGTTCGTTCCCAAAATGAGACTAGGATTCATTACTGTTGACTATATAATGTTCTGTTTAACAAAATAGTTTTATCAATCTTAAAGATAAAACTATTATAAGGTTGATAATTGGACGATTCTACATTCAAAAATATTATTTAGTTCATATTCACAAGGAATTATCCATGAAAATATTAGTAATGATATTTACAGTATACGTGTAATATGCGATTAATAAATAAATTAGTAGGTAGGTATTATAATAGTATTTCATAACGTTTCATCTTTTCAATTTTATAATTATTGCATGTTAATACATACATTTACTGGTTTTTAAATGTTAACTATTGCGTTAGTATTATTTATAGTAATTTCGTTGTTTTCTTAATTTTTTTTTTATTTATGTGATATATGTATATTATCTAATTAGATTAATTTAATTTCATTGTTTCTTTTAAAGTATATTTGTAATTACAACATTTAATTATTAAAATTATAATTTTTTATGAAGTAATATAAGGTATTTATTAGAAAAAGCCTTAAATTCTTGATTACTAATAAGCGTTTTAATATTACTTACAAAAGTTAATAATTATCAGATGAATGTAAAAACTATTTTTTTTTTAACAAAAAATTTTAACGTAATAAAATATTACAATTAAAATTAAAATTTAAGATAAATTTGCGGAAGGTATTATAAAAATACGAGTATTATATTTTGGACGTTTTATACTGTTTGGTAGTGTATTATTATTGCTGAATGATGTCAATTCAACATAGAAATCGAACAAAGCCACATATACGTATAAATAACAATGCACCTAAAATATTCGTAAGTTTTTTTTTTTAATATTTATGTCATTGCCTTTTCTACAAGGAACTCTAAAATAGCACTAATCAATACCGCCTTGTGATTTGATATAACCATTAATAATTATTTGAATTATAATTTGTTAACATATTATTTCGTGTACGAAATAAATAAAAACAAATAAATTCACTAGTTTTAAAAACTATCGCATAAATCATATAGGCATTTTAAAAAATATAGGTAGTATAGAAAATAATGTATTAAGATTGATGTAGTTCTATTTTTTTTAATTCTTTTTTCGGTTATAATAGTTGAATATAATAATTAAATAATTTTTAATAATAATTAATAATTATTAAATAATGTTGATTAAAAAATATTTATTTAGCAAAAATAGTATACTTAATAATTTTGTAATGTGTCAAAAAAAAAAAATTAATAATATTTTTCATTCGTTTGGAATTTATAGTTTATTTTTATTTTACAGTTTTTAAAGATAAAAATACTCAAAATCCTTTTAAAGAAGACTTGATCAGTATTGGCGGGGACGCAGATAGTTTAAATGCAGCATTACCCGATCATATATATATGGATGCCATGGCTTTTGGTATGGGCTGTTGCTGTTTGCAAATGACATTTCAGGTATATGTTTTAAATGCTAAGCAGTGACGTAATTATACTACACTTTAGTGGTATATAGATTGAAGATACAAGAGGAAAATTGTTAAACCATTATTGAGTTGTAGTATGAAATGTAGTAAATTGAATGGCTATTGAATTATTACTTCTTTTCTTCATATTTTGTGTTTCACCTTAAGATTGCATTTTGCAGTTCTCTATACTTTTTCAACTCTTTTAGCCTTTTCAATTTGGTACATTTATTTTTCTATGATTAGTTAATTCCAATAAAGGTTTATGTTTATAGTTTTTTTTTTATTTAACAATCCAAAGATTGATTAAATGGTTATTGATAGTTCTCTCCATTTTTATATGTTCCTTATATTTCTTTTTAATTTCTACTATCTTCTTATTTCGGTTTTTTTTATCACTTTCTTCTTAAGAATGAAGTTTTAAGTCTTCCTATACTAGGTTATCCTTCAATTTTTCCTTTCATTATTTTAGTTATCCACGGAATATTTCTTATTAGATATTGGATCTATGCTTTTCTTCTCATTTTTAGCATAGCTATATTGATTTTTAAGTATTCATTCTCCTGAAAATCTTAATATTTTTTACCTTTTCTGTCCAAGAAATTTTTAGTGTTCTTCTCCAACACCATTGTCGCGTACTATGGATCAAACGGTTGGCATGCAACAACCATACTTAAAAAACTTCTATTTTAGCCTTCTCAGTCTTCAGTATAGTCTCAGCTCTTCACAAAACTTTTTATAAGTGATTTTGTGATATTCAGAATTAACCTATTTGAGATAAAAATTCTCTTTTTATAATAGACTTATTTGGCTTGCACTATTTTACATACTGTTTCTGTATGGCTTTTCTCATCGCTTGTGATTTTATTTCTTAGGTATGTGAAGTTTTGAACTGTCTTCAGCAACATTCCATCTAAAGCTTACTGATGGTATCAATTTATTAATATTTTGATAATTTAATTTTAGTATGGGTTATACAATTAGGAATGCATACAAGAAGAATAAATTGCCAATATCTTATGGTCTCATCAGAAATGTGTTTTTTTATTTTACTATTTTAAGTAAAATTATTTTTAGATTTTGTGATACTATTGATTATGTATTTTTTAGTACAAAATTTGAGTCAAACTTAAATTAATTATCTTATATATTAAAAAAATTTATGAAAACTAAAGTCAGTCTGGCCGTTCTATCCAGCCGATTTCCTTCATTTTTTTTTTTTAAATGAAAGGTATTTAGACACAGATATGTCATCAATCATTGATATTTACTCAACTCTCACCTTACTCAAGTTATACTCAAATGCGATTCTTCCCTGTACACTTCTTATGGGACACATTCACTCAAGCAATTAGAACTCTCATAGTTCCTCTTCTAATGAATGGGTCTTGATTGTTTCACTCTCAGAACACTCAGTGGATTAAGCTCTTTTTTTAGAGCTATTAACTGCTTAAATTCATTGAGTTTGAGAAAGTTATGTGTGCACAATCAACTTTACTTTCAGTATTTCCAAATAATGCATTCTTATTGGTTTTTACCAATTAGTTTTAATAAACACTCTCTGTCTTTTCAATATTTCTTTCAATTTTCTATATTATACTCATTTATTGATTTGTTAAAATGTGTTTATGTATTGATTCGATTGCACCTTTACTTTTTATTATATAAATAAATTATCTAATGTAAATTTTTGCAACAGGTATACTAGTTTATTATTATTATTAAAAAATAATATTAATTATTTTATAATTTATAATTATCGACAAGTTTTTGAATTTATATAGATAAAGAAAATTGTTGATAAAATTGATTAAAACAAATTTCTATAACTATGTTTATTTAATTTAATTTTACAATGTTTTAGGCATGTTGTATTAAAGAAGCACGGACACTGTATGATCAACTAAGTCCTCTGTGTCCAATTCTGGTAAGAGCTTAATACTGAAGTACAATTATATGTTGTTAATATTAGATAGTTATGTAACTTAAGCACTTTGTTTTACATACCCTCGTTTAAATAAAATTATATTTGATTTAAGTTGGCTCTAACAGCAGCATCACCTGTTTTTCGAGGATATCTAACGGATGTGGATTGCCGTTGGGATGTGATTTCTGGGTCGGTAGATTGTCGTACCAGACAAGAAAGAGGATTGGAACCATTGACTACTGATAAATTTGTTATACCCAAGTCGCGGTATTCTTCTATAACATTATATCTTTCTAGTCAAGGTGAAAAGTAAGAACGATTCTTATACATTTATTTTTAATAATCTGATTTATCTCATTTTATCAATAAAAAATTGTATTAACTTTATTCTTAATACAACTTTTGTGAGATAAATATCTATTTTATATTATATTTTTAACAATTTTTTATTTTTTTATATTTTATATTGTTGTTTAAATTTTATTTATACATTCATATGAAGTATATATTCTGTTATTGATGTTAAAGAATTTTTTTTTTTTATAGGTTTAACGATGTGCCTTTAGTTTACGATGAAAAAATTTACAATAAGCTGAAGAATGCCAATATTGATCATCAAATGGCTCAACATGTAGCTCATCTGTTTATTAGAGATACTGTATCTTTGTTCCAAGAAAAAGTAAACCAGGATGATACAGTAGATATGGATCATTTTGAAGTAAGTCTTATTAATTTTATTTATTTATTTTTTTGAAAAAGTAAAGAATTTTTTTTTTAAGAACATACAGTCTACTAATTGGCAGACAATGAGATTTAAACCTCCACCTCCTAAGTCAACAATTGGTTGGCGTGTTGAATTTAGACCATGCGAAGTTCAGTTGACAGATTTTGAAAATGCAGCGATTGTGTGTTTTGTTGTTCTACTTACTAGGGTTATACTGTCATATCAATTAAACTTTCTCATACCCATTAGTAAAGTATGTTTAGGTTATTTTAGTTAGTAAATATAACTCATATTTCTGTACAATGTAAAGGTTGATGAAAATATGTCAAAAGCTCAAAAACGATCAGCTGCTCTATTAGAAAAGTTTTGGTTTCGTAAGAATATAACTTCTACATCTAAATCATCAAGTGTTAACATAAATGGTACTAATGATGAAGCTATGTACACACTAATGTCTATTGATGAAATAATTAATGGAAAAGTAAGACAAAATTAAATTACTAGGGCTTGGAAGTTTTTGGTTTTGAATATTCATGGTAAATAATCATAGAATATGGAGATTTTATTATATGATTTATTTATATTTTATTGTTAATTTTTAAGTATTCCATTTTTTCGTTTTTTTTTTTTATTTGAAATTACTTAGAAGAAAAATTGATAGCAACATTATATATTTCAATTAGTTCTTAAAATACACTTTTTTCTTCGTGTTTGAACCGCTAGCCAAGCAAGATTTGTTCATCACAATGCTACACACTCATCTATACTTATAATTTACAACATGTCCATAATTACATTTATTTAATAAAAATAATAATAATTTTTTTAGCATTAAGTTGGGAAATTTTAATGTGTTAAGTTTAAAATTGAGTAAATTTTAAGAACTTTTTTTTCATAATCTTAAATCAATATTTTATTTGAACAAGGTATATTTTAAATTATTTTGATATTACAATTAACCGTTTACATATTTTTATAAAAAATGTTTTAAATATTCACTTATTCACTTTTAATCAATCTTAAAAAGTTTTTGTAGATCTTACAGATTTTATCTAAGAAGTATTAGGAGTATTAGAAGTATTATTAAGGTGCATTCATTAGGTTTTTCTTATCCTTTCACAATTCAAATTTTTATACATGTAAAATACATAAATGTTTTGATATTTAAAATTACACCAGTATATACTAGAATGCTTGATAGAATTCAGTAGTAACTGCAGTAGTCATTTTTGAAAAAAAAAAATAGTTCTACATTTTATAATATCTAAATTTGGTTCTTTTTATCAGTTGGTTATTAGCACAAACATTTAATTTATTAAAACCAAAATAATGGTATGCATATTTATGGGCGTATTAAGTAAGAGTAAAAAATAACTTCTAAGTTCTAATATTGTAATTGTTAATTTAGCATCATGTTGTATTAACTAACCAAATATTTTTAGACTGGTGAATTCCCAGGTCTTATTCCACTAATTCACAGCTACTTGTCTAGTATGGAAGTAGACACCGATACACATTGCACTATTCAACAATATCTAAAACTTATCTCGCGACGTGCATCTGGTAAAATTGATACAACAGCTAGTTGGATACGTCGGTTTATTCAAGAACATCCAGCTTATAAGTACGCAATAATATAAGAAAATAATTTGCTTTGTTTGAAGCTTATTTTTTTTTTTTTTTTTTTTAGACATGATTCTGTTGTTAATGATGAAATCAATTATGACTTATTGATGACTGCTGATGGCATTCAATCTGGTCGTATATTTTGTCCACAACTTTTAGGAGATTGTCTGTTGGCCAACTCAAAAACAAAAGAAACAATACCACCTGCTGTACAGAAGGTGTATTCTTGTACCCCATAAAAATGATTATTGTGTACCTATTATTATACTTTTTTTTTCCAATAATTTTTGTTTGTTATTGAGGTAATTTAAATAACCATACTTCTTAACACTATGATTTATAAATGATTTTTGTTTATTATTATACATGTTTATATGTTATATGTAATTAAGTAATATAAATGTATAAGTTATATACATACATGTGAGATGCAATAGGACATTTTGGGAATTAAGAGCTCACATTATATAAATATATATTTTTTAGCTTTTTATTATTTTAATATTATTTAATTTTGGGAAAAAAGAAAAATATAAGAAATGAAATAAGGCTATTGACATGTTTAGTCGCTGTCACCACTAATTAAATATTTTGGTTTTTTTTTTAATGCACCAATTTCTTCCTCAGAGTCAGTGTTTTCCAATGATGGTTTTCTTTTATCACAATCAATTTCTTTTGTTATATTTTCATCTAATTGAGATTCTAGGTCAATATCATCAATTTCTTCATCTCTGTCTTCCAATAATTCACATATTTGTTTTTTAATAGTAATTTTTTCAGTGTCACTATTTTCCTCATCACTATCTTCTAACAATATAGTTTTCTTTTTCATTGGAACAAACATTTTTTCAATATCATTATTTTCTTCATCATTATCTTTTAAAAATGTTTCCTTATTATTCTTAGGAACAGTAATCTTCTCATGGTCGCTATCTTCCTCATCACTAATTTTTAATATTTTTTTCTTTTTTATTGGAACAAACATTTTTTCAATATCACTATCGTCTTCATCACTATCTTTTAAAAAGGTTTTCTTAGTTTTCATTGGAACAGTAATTTTCTCTGTGTCACTGCCATCTTTATCACTATTATAAGATGACAATCTCCTTTTATTAAGGCTATTTTTTTTACTGTTGTTACCATGTGTACTATTTGATTCCTTAAGAACATTGGAAGAGTTGATTAACGATTCATTTGTGGTTTCTCTATCATCAATCACTTTATTTTGTACAAGAGATTTCCTAATTCTATTAAATGTTTCTTCCACATCTTCATCACTACTATCATCACATTTATCATGCATATTATCATCATTATCAACTACAAAATTTCCTTCGATTACATTTTTTATTGCAGCTGATCGTTGGCGTAATTCATTAGCTTGCCACGTACCTGGTATACGCCAATAGGTTTCCTGAAATAAAACAAGTTAGTAGTTAATACAAAAAAATAAAACTTAAAAATTATTTTTTAGTGCATTTTGACCTACAAATTGAAGTAAATTCAATATATGAGCTTATCATATAACTTATATGGCATATTTTGTAGTTATTGATAAATATAATTTATGAATCTTTGAGTCAAATGTAAAAATAAAAAAATATCAAAATGTTCTTTGTAAATGATATTAGACTTACTGAAATTGATATAGTTATTTTCAATTACTAAAATAAATTATTTATACATGCGATCTAGATAATGTACAAAAAAATAATGCCTACGGCAAATTTATTAAAATATGTTCACTCTAAACTTTTCAAACATTTTAAATGTGTTATATAAACATATAATAATACATTAATAATAATAATAATCATACATAATAATAATACATCTATACAGGTAAGTTCACTAAATTTTAGCTGATTATATTATACAAAATTTGACACTGAATATTACCTGAATATTTGAAGGTTTATGTATGCCTAATATTTGCATTGCGTCTTGAAAATCTTTATCATTTACGGCAGTCATACACTCATCAGTTAATGGTAGTAAAGGAATATCAGATTCATCAACATCCAAATCTTCTGCTGCATCGTCCAAGCTTTCAATCAACCACAATAAAGCTGGTTTCAAATCTTTATCAATTAATTTTTTAATAGCATTTAATACATAAGTGGACGTTAAACTATGATGAGGAACTTGTGTAGTGTCATCAGATTCATAATTTTCATCACTTGAATTGCTTTGATTATCATTAGCTACAAACCATATAGAAAATTAAGTAATTGGTTAAAATTAAACTACAAATATTAATTACATGAATTAGTATTCTTGAATTTCTTTTTTTTTAATTCTTTTCGATCCCCAACTAATCCCAACTCAAGTATTTTATCAATTATGTGTTTTTTAGGACGTTTCACATCTAATTTATTCATAATAAAACGTATTGGATCACTTGATTCTCTGAATTCCATGACTAGCTGCGTAATTTGAACGATTTCAGCCTCAGTAAATTCTCTATTGGTTTTTTTTTGTTTCTACAATAAAAATTTATTAATTGCAGATTATATATCCAACAATTTTAAGAATATTTTTACTTTATAAATTATAATATCAAGTTGTTTAAGTTTTTTTATAATGCTTATTCTCGAACGGTCTTGTTTTATTAAATTCTTGCTTATCCATGTTACCTCATCTATAAAACAAATCATCATTATATCCAAGCAATAGTTATATCTTTTTTTCTTTTTTTTTCTTACCTTCTTCAGGCAATTCTCGCATGTACTCTTCATGTAATCTATGTAATTCATCTTCCTGTTCCTCAGTCCAATTAGTAGTCTTATTATTTTGTACAGCATTATATCCTTCTTCAATTTCATAAGCCACTTTTAATTCTTTCCAGAACAGTAATTCCATAAAAACCTTTTTATTTTTTTGGGCTACCTCAGTGAATTTTCTCATTATGAACACTGCAAAATTTTTGAGTTCCTAAAAAAATTTTGTTGAACATTCCAATATCAAGTTATTTTTTCTTTCTAGCCATCTAATTACTTTATGACTAGGGTTTTTGGATAAAAATATTTTTTGGAAAACGCGAAACACAGAAGCTTGAAACATCAAAGCACTATACTTGCAGTCATATGTAATGCGATGGAGTAGTCTCACTACTGCATGATTGGTATACGTAGAATTATTTTCAAATTGTTTTAAAAGTTGACAGCAGCTTTGTAAAACTTTGGGTTTTGCAAATCTTAAAGGTTTAAGAATTAATTAAAAAAATTACCTTTTATAAATTAAAAGTTCATGAATTTTAAAAACTAAATATCTTACTTTTTTACAAAATCCAAGAATTCAAAATTTTCTTCCCTCATTCTTATCTGACAAGAATTATCATCATCATCCTCTTCTTCTAAAAATTTAATTGGTTTATAGGTGAATATTTATTGGTTTCAAAAACTATCGAAATTATAAAAGCAAATAGTAATAAATCCTTTTAAATGTGATTTGATATTACTTAAATTAAGGGTTCTTTATTAACCTTTTAAGGTATATGCCTCCTTTTATACTATTTTATGTTGTCATGCCCCCTCACCATTATAAGATTGAATTATGTTCAATATATATATATACTTACACACATCAGACCTTTAATGTTGGTTATTGGATTGATATGATGAAATTAAAATCAATTAATTTTTTTTTAAATAATTAATGAATTTATCTGTTAAGATAAAAATATTATAATTTTAAATGATTAAAACAAATTATATTATATTTACTTTCTAAAATATTAAATGCTTAATATATTATTATTAATTAGATATATATTAATGAAAGTCTTGGTACTTTTTTGTTCCAATTAATTGTGACTTAATGTTTCGTTACTTTTTAAAAATATTCTTGCTTCCCTGAAATGTTATCACGCCTTCCTTCCTAGGGGGTGTGCCCTTTGGTTGAGAATACTGTTTATTATTATAATTATACTTAAAATTGAATTGTATTGGTATTAACTTTGAAGCTATGACATTAACATCAAAAGTCAATAATTGGTTTTTAAAAATATAGAACTTTAATTAATTGTGTCTCACTTATCCGTGCTCATTCTTCCAAAATTTGTATGTACCAAAAGTATAAGCATAGCTAGGAGATTAAAGTAAAGGCGCATAAGCAATAAATTGTACATATTACATTAATAGACAATGTGTAAACTATATTAAACACATTTATGGAAGTAGTTGATATTCTCCTGAATATCTGTGAGCGGGAAAATTTTAATTTCCATGATGTTATGAATTTAAAAAAAATATTAAAAATAATTTCAAATCACATAAAACAAAGACTGATTACTTCAAATGTCAAGTCCTGGTAATTTAAAAACATGACCAAATGTAATTTAAACAAAAAGTAATAAACAAAAAATTTGTTAAATAAAGTTGATTAACCGTGGTTTTCATTTATCTGTGCAATTCCGCCCTACCATTACCCTGGATAATTAAGGTTCTACTGTATCTATATTATTTTTTATAACATACCATCATCAATTTCATTATTTTCATTATCATGTCGATCATTGGACTCTTCCCTGTTTTCATTATAACCTAAAATTAAAAATAATTAAAATACATGTTTAGAAACATAAATACTTTCAAGTTATACCTATTGGGGTTCCTAGATCAGCAGAGAATATTTGTTTTAAAATATCTAATTCTTCATCATGATTTAATCCTGGTTTCCCAAAATAGCTATCTTCTGGCCAAATTTCTCTTAACATTTGGGTTAATATAAAATTAAATAAAGCAAAGATATTTCAAAATTTTTTAGAATAAAAATATATTACTATATTCAATATTGTTAAAAAAAAAATTTAGTACTACCAAATAAACAACTTTAAAATTGCAAGGTTATTGAAAAATTTGAAATGGATAAATTACTATAGATATTGTAGAAATGTATAAGTATTTACCTAGAAGCTCTTAATAGTTTAACTGCATCTTCCAAATGTTTATCCCTTATTAAAATTCGTATACGGCGCATAGATTCAACCCTGAATAAATACATTATTTTGTGAATCAAAATTTAAGATATAGAAATATTTTTCTAAATTACTTTTGATCTTCCATTGGAACTTCTGATATAGGATCATAAGGCTTTGCTTCAGTAGCATCAATAATTAAATCAGGGATTTCAATAATTTCTTTGAGACCAGGACTTAAATTGTTCCACAGTGTATCATCATCTTCTGGAGTATTATGTGGTAAGCTTTTAGATTCTAAAACAAAAAATTCATATATATATATAATTGTGATGGAATAAAGTAATTGCATATACTTTTAGAAACTTTTGTTTTTGCTTTACACAGAACAATTAAATTCCGTTGTTTTTTCCCTATATGTTCTAATAACTTCATGAAAACATGATTAGTTTCTATAAGATCTTTGAGATACATGCTAAAACATAAAGTATGGTTAAAACTTAAGTTGTTATGTAAACAGTCTTACAGGTCTTAGTATTTACTGGGAGAATTTCACTTCATCATATAAGTTTATTAAACTTAATATTAAGTCTCTATACTCCACCATATAAAATAAATTTGTTAAAATTGTTCGAGCACTCGATTGTAATGTGGGATCTTTACTTTGATACATCAATAACAATGTTTCCATTAATTCCTGGAGAAAAGAATAAATAATATAAATTGAAGTCAGATTTATTACCAAATTATTTACATACTTTATAAGCCTTAAGTCCTAAATGCATTCGTTTGGACCAAATAGGAATTTTTTTTTTGTCTGTTATTAATTTTTCACGGCTATCTTCTATGCGTTCTTGGATAAAATGAAATATATTTAAAGCCAAAGTTTCACTAAAAAAAAATAATATGTAATATTGTAAAACAATAAATGAGGTATAATAATACACAGTTCAGCAGAGGTAACTTAAATATGAGAAAAAGTGAAAAAAAAAATAGAAGAAAATTGAATTCTTCTTCTTATAACTTATATTATTGATATAGCCCATTTAGAGTCTCAACAGTTACAACTATTTCTTGCTATCTTTCTCTATTTTTGCTCTTTTTTAGTCTTCTAATCTAACCTTAGTCTGAGTTACCTTAGTCTTATACAATTTGACTGTATTACCTGACTAATTTAATTTCAAATTTGTAATTTCGATTAAATTCCATGAAAAATTGTATAGCCCAAAAGTAATAGGATTCATCATTTGGTTGTCCTTTTGATCTCACTAAAGTTTCCTAAAAAAAAAAAAAAATTATTCCAACTTAAACTTTATTTTTAAATAAATACTTACTCGAATGTGTTTCATTAAAGTATTATAAGCTCCTTGTAAAAATTCAACACAAAATTCTTTTAAAAATAATCTTACACTAAATGCAGATTTTCTTTCAATACCACTATCTTTCAAAGGCATTCTATTACGGGGAGTTTTAAGAGGTTTCTAAAAAACAAAAGTAAACACGTTGAAAAATTGATTATTTTTAAACTTATGAAAAAAAATTATAATTATAATAAACCTTATATCGATCAAAAGCTTTATTGATGTTAGAAGTCATTGATGAAACTACCATTTCATTGTCACCAATTGATTTCATACCAGAAACAACAAATCGGCCTCCAAATCTTGAATGACGTTTTCCACTATACTTTTTAATTTTTTCCATCTTCTCTTTTCGTTCTTTTTCTAACACTAATTTGAGTTCTTGTTCATCTCTTTGTTTTTCAGTTTGAGATCGATTGACTGAAGCATTTGCAAGTTCTGTTGCATTTTGATCTCGAAGCATAAGTGAAATAATCTAAAATATTTAAAAGAATACTTAAGGAAATTTTTGAGGGTAAAAATATTATATTTAATTAAATATTTACCTCTAATGTATGTAAATAATATTGCTGTTCATTGTCGGAACAAGTAATATACATGATGATATCAATAAGTTGACTTTGATGCATTGCCCACAAAACCTGAAGATTTATTAAAATACAAATTTTTATAACCAAAATAATATTGTGTAAAAGTTTAGACCAAGTTACTTGATCATGCAGATTGGCATCATTATCGGGTCTACACTCGGCATCATTGTCTGCAGGTACATGAAGTATATTGCGAACTAATATGAGAAGTCTTACAGTGGAAAGTACTTTTTCTTCTCCTTTTTCGTAGTACTCCTACATAGAAAAAACTTGATAGTATATATTACAAAAATCTCATGTTTCTAATTGTGATTACTTACCGCCTGAATCACAGCAGCCAATTTATCGACGATCACTTTCCACACATTGACATCAGTAAATGCCCGTTTGTACTTTTGCAAATGCAATAGCATTTGCAAGTAATATTGTCTAGGAGTTTTCTCCATGGGTGGCTGTTCGTTGTATATTAACAAGGCAGGGGTAGTGAGATTAACAAGTAGTCGAATGACCAGGTCAAAAAGCTCTGACTTATCTGAGTACTCAACCAGTATGGGTAGCAGATCGGTCTCCACAATGTTGGCTGCACCCAGGAAACGACGAATCTCATGATCGTCTCCATCACGTCTGAGAAACTTAATCAGATCACGAATAGCCTCTGCAAAACAATCATGTTGATGACGTATTGTATTGTATTGTAAAACAGATAAACTACGTAAATTTGGATGGGCGAATGAAAGTTCCCTCACGAAATATGGTAAGTAAAAAATCATATATGAGAATTCATACATAAGTTTCACCATGTAAAGATGCATCTAATATCATACGTAAATTCTTACACGAATAAAAATTACAGCAAATATAAATTTCCTTAATGTATAATGTGTAATCCAATTTTTAGTTGAATATAGAATAAATAAAATAATAATAATAATCATCCATTTGTACAGTATAGAAAGTAAAGCATTTTAGCATGCAGTTTTATGGTTACGAAGGAAATGTCATTGATTGTAATTTTTTTTAGATTTGAAACATACGTTGCCGGCATACTTTTGTTCCGTGTGAGAACTTACCAAATTGTTACAGGACAGCACTAACCCCCTCCCTAACCCAGGGGAGTGAATCTATACCTGAGCACTGCGGGTCGATACAATACTTGTCGGGTCCGGCGCAACCTAGCGAATTGCAAGTGGCCGTAAGTTCAGCGTGTACCAATGCCATGTTGTATTGGTTCGCTGCGGTTCACGTTCGGCCAATTGCGCCACTGGAATAGAATATATTTAAGTCAATGGTATTTGATTTTGTGCGAGATGTACGTACATCACGTTCTTGACCGCGTACCGTTTTGCCGACGATTCCGTACCGGGGAAGAAGACGGCTATTCAGTTGATAAGAACGAAATAACAACTGAAACCGCGGGAAAATGATGTTGATAAACAACAGTGCAACCGAATGTTGCGTCGCAAACAACCGAACTCGCCGGCAACTCAAATAGCTATTGTTGCGTAGCAGTTTGATCTACATAAGAGTTAAGATTAATGAGATACATAACATCAGTGCTCGACTTGGCAAAATTAAAGAAGGGCGACTCTATTTACTTTAAAAAAAAGGACGTCCCCAAAACTGGCTGAGCGTTATGATTATAGCATAATAATACTAGGGGGATGCTAAAATTTCTGAAAATTAGTTTGAGTACTCCGTCCTGCGTCCCCCTTCAAGTTGATCACTGCATAACATGCATGAAAGGATTAAACTCAGAATGAGTACAACTAATAAAAGTTACTATGCAATGAAAGAGATGCTTTGATCAAAACTACCATCACGTCGAACAAAATAAATACTACGTACTTCTGTCTCATTGTTACATAGGCATGAGCGCCGAATTTTCCAATTTTCATGGGGTGCCCAAAATCCAGTGGCTCCGGATCAATTTTTGAACCGTGGGGGCTGTGCACAGCTACAAATACAGAGGAAAGTATAATATTATACCCAAGGCCGTAACTGAGGGGGGTCCAGGGGTCCGGATCCCCCCCCCCCCCCGAAATTTTTTTCCAATTACGGCTTTGATTATACCTATATTATAACGACTGTGTCCGATCGGTTGTTGGTAATCAAATGATTCTTGAAATAAATTAGATTGCAAATCTATTGTACAGTCGCGTTAATGGATTTCCTATTAGCTATTCTATTTTGGGTGTTGTAGTTAAATATTAAATCGTTTCTATTTTCTAAATAAGGGGTAATCGTCTCCATGACTTATTCTTATATACATACCTCATATACTAAATAAAATATTAACTACTACATACATAGTACATGCAAGTTATTTCTAAATAAAACTATTAGTTTACTATATGTGTGTAAGGTCCCGAATCATGACCTTACATGACTTTCCCTTTTCCGGAGGGTCGCCAACCTACAGGGCCAGACCACCAGGTCGGACCACAATAGGATTTTGTATATAAAACATTAATATTAGAAATAATAATAATAAGTTCGGGCTCGCACATCTAAATAACAAAACACGTTACAAACCCTGTAAGGCCAAAGAAAACTTGGGACCCGGCTCGGCCGATGCTATTTAATTCACATTTATATTTTTAAAAAAATATATTCTCTTGAGAAAAATAAGATGCTATCCCGCACATAGCCACACACCAACCAACCTGCAGTGTCCTCTTCGTCGGTCACGCTCGTTTTTTCGTTATTTACTATAATTTTAGTTTTAATTGAAACGATAACGAGTCGTCACTGGGGAAGCAACACAAACCATAATATAACATTTACTGATAATAAATAATAATATACAATATTCACATGATATCATTCCGAAGCGTTACATGTGTATGTTAATACTTAAGAACAGACAGTTTTTTAAATAAATTTGAGTTTTGTTTCTATATTCAACATAACAATTAATGTAGAAGATGGCTTATGTATTTTAGTTAAGGGAGTGTAAATTCTAGGAAAATGTCCGTAGGGACTATGTTCTCACGGAATTTTTCCCGTGTTGGCAGTTGCTCCCATTGCCCCAATTGTTCCGGCGCCCATGCTAAAATCCTAAATTATTAACTTGTAACTATATAAAAATCCTAGTTATATAGTAAAAATAAATAAATAAATCAATAAAGGATTACTCGTTTATGGACATCATTTTTGTATATTTGTTGACTGAACGCAGACTAATTACTACTAAGTGCACACTACTATACACACTATATATTATTATTAATTATTATTATTATGTAGGTACTACATATAATATCGTTATCGTCGCAGTCATCGTCGACGGACGGCGACAGCACGACCAAAATAACAAGAAAACCAAAAACATGTATTAATTAAAAATGGTTATTTTTTCATGACGTATAATATTAACGTACCTATTAAATATTTATATGTTTTATTTATTTCATGGGGTACTCTGCACCCCATAAAATGAACTATGGGGTACTCGAGCACCGCAGCACCCCAATAGTTGGCGCCCATGAACATAGGTGTGTCAAACATGGACCAGCATAAAAGGCGACAAAGAAAAACTTTCTACTTTCAAAAGAAAAATCCCGAGGAGAATATTTAGAACAGTATATAATGTGGAATTCGTAACGTTCGAAAGAAGAAAAAATGATAAATTACGAAGTCTATATAATAATCTTAATTATAATAAACCCAATATTTGCCAATTTCTTAATAGCAAAATATTGGAATAGGCTGGGCATTTAGAAGGAAGTTTCATAAAAAAATTTCTCACTAAAAATCCGAGTGGAAAAACACTGTTAGGGAGACCATGCCAGAGGTGGAAATGGTAAACAGAAACATGACAAGTATAGATCCGATGTATAGCATTAGTTCAGCAACAAATAGTAATCAGTGGAGAGAAATTGTAGAAGTAACGAAAGATCTCAATAGTCTATTCTGAGTCTGAGAAGAAGAAATGTTTGTTATTTTTTTCGTCGTGCGTAATCCTCGAGTCGGATGAATTCTTAGTCATTCTTGTTCCTCAACAGTGTCGGTCCGCCACTGGTCCCTGGATTAATTTCAAATGCGCTCACGATTAATATATATAAAGGTCCCTATACTAGTGTTTCGAGATCATATGCTTATACGAATAACTTATAATTTATAAGAATATTATAAAAATTTTAATTCAAAGTTGTAGATTTAATATATATTATATTATTTTTAATCGTGATCGGAAATAATATCATATTATCATTGATTATAAATATTATTAATAATAGAGTACTAATATTTTTAATTAATGATATTATTTTGTTGCCTACTTTATTGTTTGATGTAGCAACTCATTCTGGGCCGGCGTTTGGGAGGGGGGGTGCATACCCCCTACCTATGAATGACCTAATTATATGGTCGGTAATCATCAACAAATTAAGTACCTAATAATAGTATTAAAGAATTTAATTTTAGAAATTAGTTGGCAAATTTGTATAGTTAAGACACACTCCCCCCATAAATATTTTCTAGCATGGGCCCTGATCCTAACACCATCTTAATCATAGTAAAAAAGTATTCTACTGAATGAGGATTATTCGCTTAATATATATATACATATTTTTTTTTATTAAACGAAGGGACCAAATGTACAAACTTAACTTGTATGACATAATAATGAATATGTTCCTGAGAGGAAAAAAAATCGCTAATATATGCATGATATAATGATTTTTTGTTAGATGTTAAATAATTGTTTTCTAATGTATTTTATTTATCATTATGGGTTGTTTTAGAGCTCATACACGTTTAACAAAATCTTTAATAGTCGACCGCAATGCTTGCAAAGAATGTTTTAATTTATAAAATGTAATTAGTTATCTAAAAGTACACTTTTAAGCTTTAATCCTTTTTATTCTTCATGCGGAATAATATATTTATTAAAATCTTGGTACATTAAATTGTATAGACATTAACATTTAACCTTTTAAAATTAATTGAAATTTCAATTATACAAAATTACATCCTATAGGCACATTAGTATATAAGTAAGCCAGTGTATTTAAAAGATATTTTAATTATTGCTGAAAGTAAAAACTGTACTGTGTTTCAAGGCTTATTTAAAGTTATTCGTTTGAAAAATCAATTAAAATCAATGTTAATTATATTTCAAAATTAACAAAAACAAAAATAGTTATTTATTTAAATAAGTAATATAATATTTTAAAATCGTTAGTAATTTAATAAATTATCATCTAGTTATTTTTTGTTTTTTAAATATTGAATTTATACTGAGTTATTTTAATTATATTTGTCAAGTCAATGAGTTTTAAATCATATTAAGCAATTGTTTATTTAATTTTTTAACCTTACAAATATTCGTGTTACCAACATGCAAATAAATATTATTCTTCTAAATTTAAATTAATAAAATTATACATTCTATTTTACAAAAACCTGATACAATAAAAAATATCTGAATAATATTTGTATAAAAAAAAAATCTTAAACTCCTAAAAAATATAAAATTCGTCACAAAATTGTGTATTAGTCTAGAATATAATCTACCATATCGTCTATATTATAATACAATTTTGATAAATAATTATAGTGTACGATATTCAGATATTTTGTGGCTATTATGAGTACTATGAAAATAATATAATTTTAATGCTATACGTTTAAATAAAAATACAAGGGACATTCGAAAGGTTTAACGTATTTCTTGGAGTTTGAAGTCTATTTAATAAAGTAATCAAGAAGCCAATTAAAGCTGTTTATATTAAGCCTTAAGAACTTTAGGATAATATAAAGGATATAAATCTTTGTTATAGAATAATAATTGTTCTTCTCCATTCAATTTATTTACTGTGCAATTTCGAACAAACCCTTTTAAATATTAATCATGTTTGTGTCGGTATAATGTCAAATGAAAGGTAGATCATTTTAAATGAATTTTTTGTTAAATTTAAATAAAAAGTTAATTTGAACATATTAATTAATTAAATTGAAAATTAGTAATTTTGATTACTAGCACTTAATTATTACTTTAGCAATTATTAGAATTAATCATTATTTAGTTAGTTTTAAATCATACGTTGCCTACAAGTAAATTTAAAGACTACGGAATTCCGTGTTTTAGTAAAATTGCTTATTTTTTTAACACATGTAAAAACCGATTTTAAAATTAATATCTTATATAAATAATAACCAAAGCACATAATATATCTATGTCTAATAAAAACTCATTTTAAATAATTTCTCCTACTA